GAACCGGAACTTTGAAATAGTATCCTGAGTTGACGTCCATCTGGCAGTTTGACGGTTCGCCGTCTATCGCGGCCAGATAACACCGCCATCATTCCTGCGGGTGCCATCTGTGTACTCCGTAAGCGTCGAACGACAACCCATCCTCTGCCGACCGGCAGTAGCATTTGCGGATGTGGAGGACTCGGGAGTCGGTCGTGGAGGGGGGGGGGGGACCGCGGGCGGGCTCAGTTCAGACAGAGTCCCAACCGAGAAGAAGAAATCTGCACGCTTCCTTTTTCGCAACCATCTGCACCAGAGTCTGCAGCTGCAGGCAACGCCAGCCAGACCATCCGCCGCGGCCAAGCAGACGAGAGATCCACCCATCCACAACCTGCCCAACATGGATGGTTTATGGAACATTGGAACTTGAGCAACGTCCTTCCATCAAAACTTCCATTGCAATTCTTGAAACACTACTGTCCTCGTCAGCCGCCTCCCTAAGGTAAGGAGGTGAACGAAGACGTTGCCGTGGGCATGGTCCTGTCCACAAGATCTACCGACCACTACGGAGTACCTACGGCCTCTTTTGTTACGGTGACCACCAATCATGGAGTACGGGTACTTACCAGGCCTTTACTCTACATAGGTACTCGTTGGCATGTATGCGTACAGATCTGGATCTGGGTGTTAGTTGGACGCCAAACTGCATCGCACACTTACCAGACAAACCAGCAAAAGACCCAAACTCTCCATACATTCGGCCATCAACTTTTGATTCGCCCGAAAACGCTCCTCCAATCTGCACTGCCTCGAACTTGCTTCAGAAGACAGACCACGAAAATCGAGGTGGGACAAAGAACCTGCATTCTCAAAGGCAACTTTCTCTCAAAGTAGGCCTAAACTACATGGAGACAAGTAGCATTCCCTTTCTTCTCTACTCTCAAGTGGGAACTCATGCTGTCAACTTCAAAAACGAGCCAGACGCCAATGGGCCGGACCATCGCTCTAGTTCTCTTTCATCTGTCAGGAAGAACCGGGGCCGCATCGGAGCTACGGTCCCACGGCCACGGCGGCTACTCTCCTCATCACCATTTTAGGCCCGTGCAAGCGTCTCTGCCAGCACATACGGCGTCAACAGTATTCCCTTCAGACTCAGGAAACCAGATACTCAGCCTCGTCTCGAGAATTTTCTTGCGCTTATTGGGACACGCAGCGGGATCCCGGAATGCCCTGTTATCAGATTGTCGCGAGAGGTCCCGTCTCCCTGTCCACCCCTGCATCCACTTACGATGTTTGACCGCTCCACCTCTTCTATGCGGTACATTACACGCTGTCTATCGATAACTGGACAGTTTTGGCCGTTTACCCTTAACGAGATCATCGTGTAGGACGCATGAGAAGATCCTTTGATTAAAAAGCGAGATGATCAAAATATTAGCTTGCTTGCCATGGCGTCTTTGTTTGCTTCAAACATCGTCTCACCCAGCAATTCTCTTGTGTGTGCGTGGCGCAAAATCTCCAAAAGCAAGAAGCAAACACAATGGGGAAAGGGCAAGCAGTATGTACTCAGACACATACAGATCCAATCATCAGGGATATTGGCGTCCAACACCTCGATCGATTGTTCAGAAGCCCAGTTTGGATCCTGACTATCTGAATGGTATTTTAGTCGGCTCACATTAGGAGCCGTCATCCCGTGAAGCGAGATTCTATGTCGACTTTCCCTTTACTCAAACCCATCATCAAAGAACTATTCGACAACAACAGCATTGTTTGCGGCTAGTCGTCATTCAACTCTTTCCGAGCTTCCAACATCTTTGGCCCCCCTACTCAGTCCGAGATGTTTGCTTTTTACCAGACCACTTGTTCCTGCGCGTCTGCCCTCAGCCGCTTGCTACTTTGCTGCAAGCTGCCGCCGAGGTGATTCACCTGCATATGCTTCAGGCTGCAGTACTGGCTACCGCTACACACGATTCTGCTTGCACATGGTATCACTGGCGGACCAAAGACTAGTACTAACAAGATCCTTCCAGTAGACAAGATCTACGTCGGAACGCGATAGTCTGTTCCGGTATCCAGGTCTCGATTGACGCACGGCTTTCATGAACCCGAAAAGTCGACCTCGATGTCTGTACAAAGAATCGCTCGGCCGTGTCTGAGCATCGAGCAAGGCAGGCTTCGCACTAAGAAAGCCACCGACCCAAGCTGTTCGGCAATAGACGAAGCTGTGAAGCTCAAAGAGAGACATCGTTCATACTGACTCGGTTCTCTTGCATTGATTGGCTGCCAGAGCGCCTCGATGGCTTAGATCTCGGAAATGGTACTTGTAGGGCAATTATTGCAGCCAGCCAATAATTGCGCCACACGACTATGATCATGTATCGAGAGCTAAGCACCACATTAACCGCAAGTCACGGTATCGAGATGGGCGCTCCGACTTGCGATACTGTCGGAGCCACCCTCTCAGTCGGCCGAGTTAAAACATGGAAACTTACTTCTCTAGAAAGCAAACAACAGAGCAAACAGACCAGAAGCGGCATCCACTTCGCGGAATCACCGGGGAGAACTATCTGGAGCCCAGAGCATTCGGCGCTTCGTCGTTACGCCTGAACTCTTGCAGGACGCACAGATTGTCACGTCTTTCACGACAGAGTCGACGTACGTGTTGACACATCGGAGAAAGTAGGCAGGAATCTCTCAACCCACCGCTCAGTGCAATGAGAGCCAAAGCCTGGAGTTTGGTACGGTTAGACCCCACCATTTTAGCTGCCTTGAAACACCAAGCCATCTTAGCCGACCATGCAAGGGCAAATATCACCCACCCTTGCTGGTAGCTGTACACATTAACACAGTCTGGCCGTTGCGAATCTCATCTGCGTTATGATAATACGATGGCGGTTGAAGCCCCCTCGAGGCATGCACAGAAAGATCGGACAGTGATCTCGGGGTTCCATTCCGCTGAACTGCAGGCGTGCACTTCCCGAACCTGTTTGGACTTGTCGATCACCACTAAATTTTGGACGGTTTCCTGGGGGGGCACGACGGGGCTATCGAGAATGTGCCCCTACCTTGCGATATCCGTACCGGGTAACACTATCCTCACTGTCGAAAATGCGGTCTGAAGTGGATTCTCAGTATTTCATGCAATGGATGGACCTTGCTCTGGCCCCTCATTTTTTTTTTTGCAATTCGGAGTCCAGACTTCTTGCTCAGGTCTCACTTCTCGCTCGATGGCACGTCTCAAAGGCGAGAGTCTCTACAGTGTGCTGTGGGGGGGGACCAGCTTCAGATCGACAAGCCAGAAGAGGCTCGTCGGCTTTTGCAAAGCAAGGCTTTAGCAGCCGTCGTCTAAAAGACTTTGACATGAACGCCGTCAAAAGCGGCTATCAAAGGGGAACCAATAGAAGCATTTGACAAGCTGGCGTACCTGGACATCTCGCATCCGAAATAAGGTAATTTCGCACATTCACTAGATGCATTGCAAGCAGCCGGTCGGAAACTACCAGAGAAACTATTCCCGCCTGGTACAGGGAGGCCACATGGCAGACGAGCTGCCTTTTCCTCAAAGCAAAAGCGGGATCCATCCAAGCCATTGGCAGAGGCTGGGGGGCTCATAGTCATCGCATGCCTGAAGAGGCAAATCTGTGGAGTTGCAAAAAGTCGTTCCACGCGGGATCACGAGAGGGCTCGTTTTAATTGAAGAGGGCCCAAAATTGTGGAGGCTCTCTTCGTTTCCGAGGCCCGTTCCCATCCACTCACACCGTCTTCGTCGTCAAGGTCGTCTTGCCCATTTGCCTCTGCCGCCCACCGACCCAGTGCAACTCCATGAGTGGACGAATAGCAGCGCGCACAGTTGGTGAAGGCGCACTAAAAGTTGGCAGATGGAGCGTTCCCTGCGCGTCGTCCTCTTGCATGTCATGCAGGTACGAAGATGGTGCTCTGCAAGGTCGTTGTAGTAATGAGCGGCACCCTCTTACGATCATCTGCTGTTCCCCTGAAGACCCCCCCTAGTGAAGGTTACCTTTGTCGGAAAATCGTCATTATTCCATCTGGACTTTGGTCGGCTAGTTCGGACGGCGTGTGCTTTGACCTTGGGTACTGACGATTGGGTTTCTCCTGTTATGGAGTATTAGATGCTGAAGTATCCGGAAAGGAGAAAAACGAAGAAGAAAAAAAGAGAAGGTGGTGTTCTAGAAGGGCCCACAGAAGCTTTCCGCCCCTGAGCCTGCCTCTTGTGTAACCACCATCTGGCACATCATACAGACGAATTGGCGTCCATTCCATGACTCCAGCGCTCCTTCGTTGGCCCCCGTGGGTATCGTCCTCCACTCCGGCTGTTCGAGTTTTGTTTCGGACGGGACTAGATCCTCGTGGACCCGAGAAGCTGTGAAACGAAGCCTCTCCGCTGAGTGCCTTAAACAGCTCTGCTATGCGGACGAGTTGAATCAGGACAATTGGGAGACAGAGGACATCATTTTGCCCTGGAGAGACATATAGAAACCGCGGAACATACTGTAAAGCGCCACCAACCAGAGCACGGGTTCAAGCGATGCCTGTGGCGTTTTCAGCCGCCTGGCGAGTTAGAACGATGTCCAAGCATAGCGTCTGCCCCTGTAGATCACACGAGTTAAGGTACTTGAGGCGAACTTGTCCCTCCCCAGAACCCTGGTCACAGAAGACACGGCATAGAAATGGGACCCAGACCGATAGACCAAGATGGGGCGAATGGGTTCACCCATCATGGAACCGGTCGTATGGCTGAACCGTACTGCACCGGGCAGCCAGAGACGGAAGCCGGACCGGCCTGCACAGCCGTCATCGGCCGGAGCAGAGCCCCGCAATTACGTTGCCGGCACCGAAAAACAAGCTTGCTTAGCGCCGTCCTACCAACCTCTCTGCCCGCTTCTTGGACGCGAACTTGAAGCTTGTTTTGCTCGCGGCCGCATTACCCTTCTTCATTCCTCTGCCAATTCCATCACGGACAGCGTCCTGAAGTCAATTGAACGCGCAAACGGGCAAACATGTCTATCCCTATGAACCGCCTGGGCGGCCGCGGTGAGTATCTTCGCCATGTTTCGTTTTCGAATCCTCCTGGAGCCATGGCTTGGAATCCGAGACCGCCACAAACAGACCCGGATAAAGACAGTGCTGCTTGGGATGGCTCGACATATGTGGGACGCACGCGCGCGCTGACACGAGCATAACCGTCGCAGCCTTCAGCCACGCCGACAACGACGACGACGATACGGAGCGCGAGTACGACCGCCTCCGCGACCTCGCCCGCGAGGAAGCCAACAAGCGCAACCAGGCCTTTGAGCGCGTAAGTGGCCACAACCCAAACCGAAGCCTCGTTCGAAACACGTGGTTTTGGGTTTTATATGATCCCGCAAAAAACTAACACCACCCTCGATGCTCTATCCAGTCTCAACAAGCCTACCAATCGGGCGATGGCGCGGCCGCCAAGGAGCTCTCCAACGAGGGCAAGCGCCACGCGCAAAAGATGGAGGACTATAACCGCCAGGCGTCCGAGTTCATCTTCCGGGAGAACAACGCCGCCGGCCGCGTGACGGGCAGCTGCGTCGACCTGCACGGGCAGTACGTCGAGGAGGCGGAGCGTATCCTCGAAGAGCGCATCCGCGCCGACCGGGCGCGGGGCCAGGAACACCTGCACGCCATCGTCGGCAAGGGGAACCACTCGACGGGCCACGTGCAGAAGCTGAAGCCGAGGATCGAGGCCATCTGCCGCGAGATGGGGCTCAAGTACTCGACCGAGGAGAACGCGGGCCGCATCTACATCAACCTCCAGGGCGGGGATGCGACGATGCCGCCGCCACCTCACACCGGGGGCGGTGGACAGCAGCACCACGGAGGCGGCCAGCAGCAGCATCACGGTGGCCAGCAACAGCACCATGGCGGCCAGACCCACGGTGGGCAACAGCAGCACCACGGCGGCCAGAACCAGCAGCAAAACCAGGACGAGACTGCCGACTTGGTCGTCAAGATTCTCAAGAAGCTGGAGAAGGCTTGCTGTATCGTCATGTGAGGGGCTTTGGTTCCTGTTGTGGCCTCTCCGCTTGCCCCCCTTTGTGGCTTTCGGCTGCCGGGCCGCATCATTATATGCGGCCCGGCCTTTTTTTCAACCTTGGATACCCGGCGGACTCGATGTGAAATGGTAATGTCTTCTCTTCTTCTGAACCTATATATATAGGCTTGATACCCTGGCGAGATGTCACTGGACTCGGTCGCCTTGGGGTTGGATATAGGGCGACGCGGGCTTAGTCCACGTCAGGATATTTTAAATACAATGTTCAGGACTTTCTTCATGCAATTGGTACAAATCCCTTGTTCAAGTTGAATGCTGTGTCTGTAAGAAGCACACAAAGAAACATAATAGCTCAGATATCTCGAATTGACATTGGCCTTTGGATTTGACTGCCAAGGTCAAAGATTCAAATTTTGAAAAGAGACACCGCCAGGGCCAGATGAAAATCAACACTGGCTCGGCATTGGAAGTAGAACAGAATTTCAAGGTAGTGGCTCTCGCGCAACGGAACTCCCATTGAAGTCCATGCATTTATCCGAGGTGAAGCTCCAAATGAAATCCCGATAGGTTCTTATCGTTATCGGAGCTCCAGCGCTGCCAAATTTATAGAGGCCTGATTGGCCAGCATTGACCGGGGGAAGGCAAGCTTGCCTGCTATCCCGTTCTGCGCAGCGCTGTTCGGCTGAGGAAGTGCTTTAACCAAAGAAATTTCAACCATCGTCATCGCACCCGGAATCAACCACAACCTCCATCACGAACCAACCGGCCTCGCATACACCCCGTCAACTTTACGAGTTTATCACAGTCAACCACATTTTAAAATGGATGCGTAAGCTCACCCCTTATCAATGATCCCAAGAAGGGCTCAAGGGAAAACAGAGACCGAACACAGCGACTAACGCGCAATTCTCTATTACCAGCCTTACCAAGACCGAGGAGGCCCAGCTCCAGCAGAGACTTCAGAAGCGCCAGGTCAAGGAGTTCATGAACGTACGTTTCTCTCTTCAACCTTCCCGTTTCGTTATCTGCACAGAAGACCAAACGAAATCAATCCGTTCCTCCGTCTCCCATGTTTTTCTTCCCCCCTCAATCGCTGTTCAAAAAGCGATAAGACTCCCTAGACTCTGTGGCTAATCCTCTTTCCCCCCTTTTTACAGCTCTTTGGAAACCTTGTCGACCACTGCTTCACCTCGTGCATCGACGACTTCACCTCAAAGTCCCTCTCCTCCCGCGAGACCGGCTGTATCACCCGCTGCATCCAGAAGCAGATGTTCTCCCAGCAGCGCCTCAGCGAGCGCTTCCAGGAGCACAACGCCCAGATGACGGCCCAGATGCAGGGACAGTAAATTCACTGTCGAGAAAACCCCCAAATGATGTAAAAAAAAAAAAAGAGAGAGAGAGAGAGAGAGAGAGAGAGAGAGAGAAGAGAATGGGCACGCAAATGGTGTTCGATAGAGCGAGCACGCGCGCGCACGCGCTGATGTAACACTATTCCCAGCAAGGCAGGCAGACAAGCCAAGTCGGAGGGGGAGAAGGCACTGGGATTTGCAACATTTACCACACACGATCTCCAAATTAACGAAGCCAGGCGAGTGAGTTGGGAATGACAACCACGAACGAGGAGGGTTTCCTGTATATTACATTGTGTTTACTTTCTTCTGTCCCCCGGCCGGTGGACGGAAGACGTGGCATAGCACTTCTTTGCGGGTTTGGAATAAACACCGCTAAAATGAAGGGAGAAACGAATGGACAAAATATCTGCTCCATGAGCCGTTGAGTGTGTGTGAGAGAGAGAGAGAGTTTGTATGCCATCAGCTTGTGAGCCACAAGTCACAGTAGAAACGGGCGTCATTCTGGTTGTACCCAGCAATCTGCTAGGGGTATCCACGAATTTGATCCTATGTAGACTATGGGGTTTCCCAGTGACGATGGCTGGAATAGGTATGATGCACCCACGTTTATCCTACACACTTGAACGCCTAAAACCCTTTTTTGTCGTTGTTCCCCTCCAATTCATTCATTCCCTTGTGGCCGACGATAACCCCCTCGGCTTCATTATTCCTATCTCAACATCCCTCCTCATCCTTACTCAAGACTCTTCAAGGTCTTCGCTCAATACATCCCTCACGGCCTCCAACTGCGAGAGGACCTTGCTCTCCAAGACATTTCCTGGCTGGCCATTCTCATCCGACGCGCCAGTCTTGATGCTCTTCCACTCCACCTCACGCTGGCCCAGCGGCAGAAGTCTGTCGCGCAACAACTTATGGCTCGATAGCCAAAAGTCAATGTTTTCTAAAAGGGAGGCAGCATCCCACTGGATCTCTGGGATATCACGGTTGTTGGCAGTCCGCAGAGCGGCGATGACTCTTGTCAACAGAGCAAGAGAGTGCACCTCTGATACTGCAAGAAGCGTTACGTAGTGCGGCGTCTCTCTCGATGCTGTACGACTGGCGCCAGGTGCCTCGAATCGGTCAACACTAGACTTGAGAAGTAGAGGGAACTGGTTAAGAACGTAACCCAGTTCTGGCGCAACCGTTCCGCCCAAGGCAGTGAGGAGATTCAGCAATAGGGGCAGAACACCCTTGACCCAGATGCTGTAGCATCGCTGGGGTCCAACAGCTTCTGAGAAGGGAGAAATGTTTCCGCGGCGCATGAAGTTGGTGATGCCTGCCGAAGTCAGGTGGCTCAGCAGGCCTTCGCAAGCCATCTGTTCTGCCACCGCCGGTAGGGTAGAGAGCTCCAGCAAGAAGAGCAAGCTCAACTCGCCATAGATCGGGTCGCCGTTGATGGAAAGTTTATCGGCCCAGGAGAAGAGTGATGTCGCTGCGTGCATTGCATCATATGATGCCATGATGTTGAGTATCTGTGTTTGACATTGGTCAATGGTTGGCATGTTGAGACAAGCTTGCAAAATGGCCGTAAGCAGAGCAAGGTCTTCAGGTGCAACGGCAGCCTCGGAATCGTGCACAAGAGCAACGAGAGTTCTGAACCCCTTTGCGACTACTCGGTCGAGGAGGTTCAGAACAGTCTGAGTAAGTGTGATCGAGAAGCCGTCACCTCCGTTCTTCGAGGCTCCCAGGGACTTCTTTTCCGCAGCACTATACGCACGCAGGGTAACGTAGATGGCCTTGAGCATCGTGCGGTAGTACGAGATTGATTCCGGGTTGAAGGGCTCCTCGACAGCGCTGATGATGGTGAACAATGTTCCCAGAAGTTGGTTCACATCGTGAGACGAAATAGGACGGCCAACGAGACGCTGGACGAGAAGCAAGCTCAAATCGGCTCGCTCTTCGACAATCCGCATGAAGATATTTTCTGGGCCTTGGTTGGACCGATTTGCCTCGAGGCATTGCTGCGCAACTTGCAACATTTGTCTGGCAATGGTTTCGTTTTCTGCAAGAGAGCTACTAAGCTCAAGGAGCAGGTATTCCCATGCGTGGAACAGCGACTGCGGCAATATCAGTGCGGGCCAAAAGGGCAGGTAGGTGTTCAAGTGAAAAACTTACAATCTGCGCGTCGACAAGGGACAGGTTGGCGTTGGCGATCCCCATCTCGTTGCGGAACCCATTGTTGCGACGACCATGCCAACCTGGATCGAAGCTCAACATCTCAGTTGCACTCTCCAAGTCATAGAAATAGCTTCGACCAAGCTCGCCGGGTCTCAGTGATGTCCTTTTGAAAGCTTCCAACGAAATTCCGGGGTATTTGCTTGTGAAGTTTTTAGCAAAGTTGCTGTGCAGAGAAGTATTGTAGCTCGACACTTCTACGCCGTCCCGTAGATAGTAGTCCAGGTCGGATACCAGGCTCTTGGCGAATGTGTCGGCTCCGCCCATCTGCCGTAAGTGATAGAGCTGCATGGCGAATATCTCGGCAATGTAAGCGGCCATTTTGGCATCTGTGGCAGCCTTAACGGCATCTGTCTTGCTTGTGACCGTAAAGCTACTGAGGTCCTTGACGTAAAGGCGCAGAGAGTCCAAGAAGGACGAGTCTTTTTGCATGGTGAAGATTGTCCAAGGCCAATGGTTCTGAGATGATGCAACAAAATCGAGGATCCTGACTGCCTCGCCTGTTTCCAACTCTTTGATCTTCTTCAGCTTTGCAAAGGCTGTGGCCAGCACCGAGTTGGGCGTCGATGAAGCGTCCTTCTTAACGCCCTTGAGGGCATCTCTGGGCGTCTTGCCTGTCAAGAGACAGTTTGATAGCCACTGCTGGCGGTTCTGTACTATCGTGGAGAAGAACTTCCACGTTGTCTGCACATCCTTTGCAACGAGGAAGGGCTTGTCGAGTCGCGACAAGACCTCGATAAATGACCGGGACAAAAGGGGACCAAGGTATCCCAGGAGTGAAGGGGGATCATCGTGAGCTTTGGCAGCACTCAGCACTAGAGCCTCCAGCAGTAGCAGTGCTGGTCGCCGGAATTGCTCGCAGATTGCACATAACCTCGCCAAAATCGATGACGTCTTGAAGAGGTGTTCTTCAAACGTCGCTGATGGTCTGTCCAGGTAGCTCGCAACACGTAGCAAGGTTGTTGTGAATCGCAAAGCGCATGTGAGCTGTTCCTGAGCTGAGGCTAGTCGGTCTTGGTAGAACGTTGAGTCGGGGATTTGGAGACCATTGACCAGAGTCGTGAGGAGCGGTTGGAACCTCAAAGACCCTGTTGAGGGCGAGAGGAACGCATCGATAATGTAGGACGCTGCGGGTTCCAAGCAAGCCGCCAGCGTATCCGCGCTCTCTTGGTCACCCATCCCGTACGTGTGCTCGATGATTTGATCCATTACAGGGACAACATGCCGAATGAGCAGTGCTTTATGAAGCTCTGATCCGAAGCGCCAAGTTGAGGAGGTCTCAAAGACGTCAACCGCGGCTTGAGCAATTGCGAGGCTGACTTTGCCCAAGACCTTGTCCGCCACGCCGAGCCAAACGTTGTTTGATATTTTCTGCCGTCCAACCAGCTTGTTGCCCGATTTGCGTTGAACAGCGCTGCTCTTGACGCTGTCAATGAGGCTAGCAAAAAGCCGCACGGCCGACAGCAACAGTTCATATCGGTCCCCCACTAAGTCAAGATTACCAGTGATCTTTGCCAACTTTCCTGCCTGGGCTTCCGAGTTGAGAAGTTCGCAACGCGCCAAGTAAGACCAGACTCTCGTGGGGCAAAGCGGCAGGATCGCATGTAGGAATTGAACGCATGAGTTGAGCACTGCGATGCCCTGTCCTTCGGTCGCCTTCTCGTCTTGCATATAGGCATCCATGGTTTCGCAGACAACCGCCACAAGGTCTTTGTTGCCGGAGATGTGCTTACCAACCTCTTCCAGCAGCTCTTGTCCCGACTTGAGCGATGTTTCGCCGCTCAAGCCTTGCTTTTCAGACTTCAGTACCTCCGCGCGCAGTAGTGTCGCTAAGAGAGCAATAGTTTCTGCGGTTTCCTCTGGCTGAAACGCATCCAGTTCGCTGCGGTAAGTCTCAGGTGCTAGTTGGATTTCAAGCCTCTTGCCAAGCAAGGCAAGAGCAGAGTGCTCATACTCCATAAGAACCACGCGACCTGTATCCGTCACAAAGCGTCCCACTGTTTCCGCGGGTATCCTAAATGCATCGTCCACCCGAGTTCTGCGATTCCATGCTGTGGCAGGCGTGAAAAGCGGTATGTCTTCGAGTAAGTAAAACGCGTTGGTGTTGTCCTCCTCCTGGGCTAGCTCGTATTGCTGGTAGTCATCGGGGAGAATGAAAGTAAGTGATGGGGTTTTGCGCAAGAGGTTGACTACCGTATCCATTCGGTCGTCAGCGACGGTGCAGTTCGCCAAAGTCCTGCAAAGATTGAGGAATGGCAGCAACTCAAATGGGTAACGGTTGAGGGCCTGGTGGAAGTAATATTCGAGTGCAGCATCGTCGTGGAGCACCTCGGCCAAGATGTCGCTTGAGGCGTGGAGCGAAGGCTTCGAAAGGTCCCAATATTGCTGGCCAGCTCCCAGGACCGAAAGGAGAGAGGTGACAGAGTCTGACTGATACCCTACGAGAGGATATGTGGCTTTGAGGAAGTCGACATACGAAAGCCGGATTCTGGAACTCAGAAGCGCCGAGAAGGCTCCGTCACTGGAGGCCCCAATAGCCAGTGCCATCTCGGACAATACTTCGTAAGCCCGTCCATGCGATGTGACAGCTACTGCCAGCTGCTCCACAACCTGCAAGTCCTTGTCCAGACCCGCGTTGGTCAGGAAAATGTCGAATGACTTGCCGTCGAGAGAAACAATGCTCCCTGCAGAAAGACGGCGAGCGGTAGTGGGCCGAATCAAAACACCAGCCTCGAAAGTCTCCTGAGATCGCTGGTTCTGTAGCGCATCTCGCTTTTCGATTCGGTCATGATGCGAGTAGAACATGCGGTGGACAACGACAGTCCACGCAAATATGATGGGGCTTTGGCTCTCGCAATCTGCACTGGCTGCGGCGAGGATTGCATTGTGGACTTGCTCCAATACTGACGGAGCAGTAATGTATGGGTCCTCGTCTCCGCGATATTCAGGGGCCTCTTCGGCAAGACACTCGATGGATCGTGTAGGGTTCAGGAGCTTGATAGATATGGCTGAGATGAGAGATCTAAGGGGCATGATTAGGGAGGCAATGGCATCAGTCGGCTGTCTGCTGTTAGTCCAGGCTTTCCAGCGAAGTCTAATGCTTGGTGAACTCACCGCAGTAATCCCGTTGAGAAAACCATAGCTATCCATTAAGGAAAACCACTGGCCAACCAGCGCGGATGGTACGAAATCGTCGCCGCTGCCATCGACTGACTGGAAGACGACCGACAAGGCGTGTACAACTTCAGTGAGTGCCGTCCGCATCCATTCCAGCTCAATTTCTTCTCCCAGCAGGCTTTTGTCTTCCACGACTGCTTCGAGCCCCTCGGCCAGTCGACCGATAGCCTCAGTGACATACTGCAAGTAGGTCGTGAGCAGATTTTCAAGGTATTTGGGACGCTCGCTCGCGGCGATCAACTGAGTTGTCGCGATCGGAAGATCGGCCGTAGAGACTGACGCTGAAGGTTGGGTGTAGAGGACGTTCTCCTGGACCAACGCAGCAGTCATCAGAAAGTGGCGTCTCTCAGCAAGATATGTCTGGAAGATTCGCTGTCGCCTTGACTCCTCTTTCTCGAATTCGGCCCATATCGTCTCCGCATCCTGAGCGGCACCAGCAATAGGGACGAAAGATGACGATTGTACGTTTGCGACGCCAGAGGCTTCCTGGAGGTTGATTATATCCTGGGAGGAGAGGGTTCCTGTTAGGTGGCTTGCTGGTCGCGACTGGAACTCGATGACTGTCGCGCGAAGCGCAGCAACGAGGTTGACCTTGGCATTCTTGCTCAACCACTGCGCATCCTCTTTGATAACTTTAATGTCGAAGTTGTCGTTCGGTTTGGGGGTGACGTGTATAGCGGCGGTCCTCGTCTCGAAGTTCGATTTGGTGTGATCGCTCGGCGGCGCAAAGGCGGTCGACGGATCTTTTATGAGTGCCCGTACGAAATCATCTTGTAAAAACTGTACAACAGCTTCGCTCTTCCGCCTGGAGTCATCTTTGTCCGCCAGTGCAGCTGCGATGAGCTTCCAGGAGCTAGTTCGAGGATCAGTTTTCCGGACAATCAGCAAGTCAACAAACGCAGGGCTACCCACATAATGATGGTGTCTCCATTCAAGCATTCCTCCAAAGGAGGAAAATATTGACGGTCTGCCACTTGCGCCATTGCCGCAGAGGTCGATTGGGCAGAGCAGTCAAGGTCCGGACTGCATTAGGCGAGGCTGCGATGAGCTATGTTGCCTGAGATGCAAAGAAAGTAAGTAGACGCGCTTGTACACACTTGGGCCCGCGAATGCTTTTGCAGCCTCTCTGCAGGTGGTTGACTGGAGCTCCCAAAAAAAGTGAGCTCGAGTTCCGTGGTTTTTCCGGGAGCTGGCGCTAAGTCCAGTTCGTCTTAGCGCCCGTTCAAGGCACAATGCCACAATAGGCAGTCCCGGGCGCCGGGATCGCGATATAGCGGCGGGGCGGCCTGTCAGGGTATATTGCAGCTTGCCTTTTGCGCAACTGTGCACTGTATTCTCAGCGGTAGTTATCACCAATCAATACAGTAAAAGTATGCTCTCCGAATTACTGTGCTACAATCAACTTTAGTGAGTCGCCGCCTTTTTACTTCATTTCAACCCGTCCCATTGACTCACCTCATTCCAACCTCGAATGCCATTACCACCGAAGCGATACTATCCGTGACAAGAGGCATTGGGATTCAGCAATTCACTGCTGATTTGACTTACTTTTCGGCGGTTCCAGCACAATTTGCAAAATGCCGTCCTTAGATATCATCGATCACTCACCTCAGCATCCGGACCCTTCGCCACCAATTCCCACGGCATCCAACTTGATCTTGATCGACAACTACGATTCCTTCACCTGGAATGTCTACCAATACCTCATTCTCGAAGGCGCGAATGTGACGGTCTTCAGAAATGACAAGATCACGCTGGCAGAGCTGATTGACAAGAAGCCAACTCAGTTGATCATCAGTCCTGGACCTGGACACCCCACCACGGATTCCGGAGTCAGTCGAGATGCAATTAAGCACTTTTCTGGCAAGATTCCCATATTTGGTGTCTGTATGGGTCAGCAGTGCATCTTTGACGTCTATGGTGGAGAGGTCGGATCCGCAGGGGAATGGCTTCACGGCAAGACATCTCCTTTGACACACGACGCCAAGGGTGTCTATGCTGGTCTGCGCCAAGGCCTTCCAGTTACCCGTTATCACTCTCTAGCCGGTACACGTGTGACACTTCCGGATTGTTTGGAGGTCACTTCTTGGGTTGCGACAGAGGACGGATCCCCCGGTATCATTCAAGGCGTCCGACATAAGGAGTACACCATTGAGGGTGTTCAGTTCCATCCCGAGAGCATTCTCACCGCAGAGGGCCGGACTATGCTGCGAAACTTCTTGCAACTTCAAGGTGGCACTTGGGAAGAGAACAGCCGGCTCCAGAAGGGCTCCGCGACCAACGGCGCCTCTGCCAAGACGACGTCATCTGCGCCGGCTGCAAGCAAGAAGAACAACATCTTGCAGCAAATTTACGCCCACCGAAAGGCTGCTGTTGCAGCTCAGAAGCTTGTTCCTTCGCAAAGACCTGCAGATCTACAAGCTGCGTATGATCTCAATGCCGCTCCGCCTCAAGTCCCCTTCATTGAGCGCCTTCGCCAGACCCCCTTCGATGTGTCCCTCATGGCGGAGATCAAACGAGCCTCGCCCTCAAAAGGCATTTTCGACATCAACATCAATGCTCCGACCCAGGCCAAGAAATATGCCCTTGCAGGTGCCAGCGTCATATCCGTGCTGACGGAGCCTGAGTGGTTCAAGGGCAGCATCGAGGATCTGAGGGCTGTTAGACAAGTTCTGGACGGTATGCCCAACAGACCAGCGATCCTCCGCAAAGAGTTCATCTTCGAGGAATACCAGATTCTTGAAGCCAGACTTGCGGGCGCCGATACGGTCTTGCTTATTGTCAAGATGCTGGAGACGGAACTGCTGGAGAGGCTGTACAATTATTCTCTTTCCTTGGGAATGGAGCCCTTGGTTGAGGTCCAGACAGCCGAGGAGATGAAGACAGCCTTGAAACTTGGATCCAAGGCTATTGGCGTCAACAACCGCAACTTGGAGAGCTTCGAGGTCGACATGAACACAACAAGCAGATTGAGAAGCATGGTCCCGGAAAATACCATCATCTGCGCCCTGAGCGGCATCAATAGCCACCAGGATGTCATTCTCTGCAAGAACGATGGAGTCAATGCTGTTCTTGTAGGAGAGGCCATTGTCAGAGCGCCGGACACAACCAAGTTCATCAGAGAACTCTGTTCTGGTACAGACGCTGAGCCTGAACCGGTCAAGACCCAGCCCCTTTTTGTCAAGATTTGCGGCACACGAACACCCGAGGCTGCCCTCGAGGCTGTTAAGGCAGGTGCGGACTTTGTCGGAATCTGCTTGGTTCCAGGTGCGAAGCGTTGCATATCCGACGAGACTGCTTCAGCCATCTCAGAAGCGGTACACACCTTCGTGCCTACCGCCCCACGCACAGCAACAAGCATTCCTACAAAATCTGCTACAGATTACTATACCACGTCTGTCGCCAGGCTATCGAGCTCGCGTCCGCTCCTCGCTGGCATCTTCCAGAATCAGCCCCTGGACGAGGTTCTCGAGAAGCAGAAGCGTTTCAATCTGGACATTGTTCAGCTTCACGGCAACGAGCCGGTTGAGTGGGCCAACCTGATCCCGGTACCTGTTATTCGGGCTTTCAAGCCGAGCAACGTTGGCATCGGGAAACGAGGCTACCACACCATTCCTCTGCTCGATTCGGGAGCTGGCTCAGGCAAGCTACTGGACGTCTCCAGTGTCAAGGAAATCTTGGCAAAGGACCAGGAGTTGCAAGTCATTCTCGCTGGCGGTCTCAACCCGGACAATGTGCTTGAGGCAGTCAAGGCTGTTGGGGAGTTTGGTGACCGTATCGTAGGTGTTGATGTGAGCAGCGGAGTGGAGGAGGATGGCAAGCAGAGCTTGGAGAAGATTAGAACGTTTGTCAAGAATGCGAAGAGCTTTAGGTAGAGAGTTCGTCGAATGAGTAAGTGCTTGAGACTCTGTCAAGCGATCTAATCGAAGACTGTCCGTGATACTTGAATATCTACACTTCAGCTCTGCCACGAAGCCCAGACCTCGATGTCATCGAATAATCCTGTCCTTAATTCCACATCCTCGCATGAGCCAAGACTGCTCTGAGATATGTGGGTAGGTGAACAATGTGAGCCTCAGATTGTCAGATAGGGCTATCTGCATCTGTTCAAGGAACAATTCTGCGTTAAGGTAGACATGAGGGTAAATATTGACGATACTCAAAATGCTATAGGTTCTCATAAGATCGATCTGTGCCGCATTTCCAGACCGGCATTTCAGATGCCATATCAAATTGATTTCTTGTCATATTTCGGAAGGCATAGTGAGACTTCATATCTCTCGCGCCTTCCTCCCAGTCTTTCGAGTGCTTCCCCAGTTGTACCCTCCCCCCCTCCCTCCCTCCTTCCTTCCTTCCCTACTGCCCTGGCTCATCTTTTTTTACTTCCTCGAATCTCTACGTCTAAAACAGCCACCCTTTTTCCAGACATTTTTCTTCCACTTCTTCACCTTTTCTACACCCTTTCTACCTCACTCACAGTTTCAGATCGGCCTCTTCGTACCCAATTTCTATCCCAACACTTCACCCATTCTACATCACTCGCAGTCCTAGACTTTCATCATCAGCATTAGAAACCTTGCTTGCTCTTACCAACCGAGAACGCCCTTTATCAGGTTTTTTTTTCACGCAGTCTCACTTCAGCTCTTCACGCTTCTTACCTCACTTGAAATCTCAAGCCGTTCTTGCCTCATCTTCATCAGCAGCATCACAGACTTTTATTCTCTTGTCCTGTTGTCACTGAGTGAGACTTTACTTACAATCATCGACCAACGTTCATCTTTCACAATGGTTCAAGCAATCTTCAACAAGATGGTCATTACCGCTGCTGGAGACTTCCCTAGTGGTTGCTCCAGAGAGCAGATGGTCCAGTGGGTTAAGATGCGCAAAGGCAAATTCTCACTTCACTTGGACGAGACGACGACCCATCTGCTGTTCACCGATGAGGAGTTCAAGTCCAAGAACAAGCACCACCGAAGTAAGGTCACCTTTCCCTTCACATGCAACTTATCGAATATTTATTTCACCCTTCATGCTTCATGCTTCATGCTTCTTTTTTTGTTCCTTGTTCAGAAGCTAATTGTTTTCATTATTCTCAGTCAAAGAAGCAGAGAGAAGAAACAGGACGAAGCATGCAAAAAAGATTCACATTGTGAGCTGGAGTTGGTTCACCAAATCTTGCCGCGACAACAAGAGACCCGCAATGAATGAATACAGATACGATGCCATGAAGATCAAAGAGGAGAAGGAGGCCCAGGCGCAGATCGAAAGGGCCCGGGCTGCAGCGTCTGCTTACAGGTGGATTCGTCCTGGTCAGTGAATGTACACCATATCTACTGCTTGAACACCGTTGACGTATTCATCCAGAGTCTTACAGTGTCGCTAAAGACCTGACCTCCTTCGAGTACAAGGTTGATCTCTTCCGATCATCTGAGAATGAGGACGGAACTCTGCACGAGAAGTACGAACTCTACGTAAGTCACAAGCGTATACCCGTTCTGAATGGCCATCACAAACTTGGAATCGAGTCCTAGCTAATATGTGCTGCTAAACACTCAAGTTCTTCCGGTCTCACTGCTCTAGGCCGCACATGTACTGGTTTGGCGCAAAGCTGTTCCACAAGAAGGACAGCGGTAAGTGGGTTGAGCGCGGCATTGAGCGCCCGAGTCCCAGTTGCTCAACCTTCCGGAACGAGTACGACAGATTCAGAAAGTTCTTTGAGCTGAAGACCAAGATTCGCTGGGCAGACAGAGTCGCCAGAGCTGGAACTCAAGAGAAAACTGCGTTCAGTTACTCCCCCCCGGTAAGATTATCCTACCAATCAAACTGAGGCTCGAAATTCTTTTTACAATCAACACTTGCTAACAATGAACCTTAGACTGGTGGAAAACCCGTGGGATGCAGAATGGTTGGTGCACTTTACAACAAGGCCGTCAGAAGCAACAAGAAGATGCTTCGGCGCTATGCTGAGCTCTTTGGAGACGAGTTGCCGGCCGACACCCAGATCGAAGACGCATGTAATGACGTCTTGAAGGACATCGTCGATGAGGTCTGCACAGCCCCGGAGATGGATGCTGAAGAGGAGAATGGGGTCAACGAGATGACCATGGCCAAGATGAATCTTAGCCCTGGCAAGAGCGACACTGTCGACTCTGATATGGATGGACACGCCGAGGCCGACGTTATTTCTGATTCTGGAGCCATGGCTCAGTTTTCTGAGATTGAAGACATCGTCATGGAGGGCCACGTTGAGGGCGTTTAGACAGGTCATTGACAACACTTGACGGCACACCACCTACCCAGGATACTGGAACCATTGGGACTTCGTCTGACGGAGACGAAATTTCAGGTGGATAACGACATGGGTCAATTGGCAGTCTTACTGATGAGATTGCGGAGGCCCTTGATGCAGGTCTGCAAGAAGCAGCAGTACAGTGAGTTGATCCTGAGCAACTACTACACCGGCCAGCTACTAACCGTTCTTTAGTTGCATCTGAGGAGAGACATCTCTCTTCTATCTGGAATTTGGAGGTAGCTTTTTTGGGCGAGACTTTTGGCAATGGTTTCGAGCTTGGGCGATAGGCGGGAATGGCTTTGCATTTCGATTCCCCTTTTCCCCATGGACTTCTACATTGGGCAGCAGCAAGAAGGAACCTACAGCACTTTATTCAAGGTTGGGTAATACCTTGATAAGATGAGAGCGTGGCCAGCTTGATTAGATCCGAGCAATATAAATAGTTTCCGCAGCTTAAGCTTTCAACTCTTGGTGTAGTTCACGTGAAAACTGGAAGAAAGTCCCGGATGATTGAATCCTTTCGGTACACGAACCAGTCAATCTTTATTCATGAGCGATATCTCTTGAGTATGTGAGATTTCATGTTGAATACATGAGTATCTTTCTAGATGTCATGGCTGGCATCCGAGATCCCGTCATGTCGGTACGAATGTCTCAGCGGCTCTGATCAACCCGATAATTGGTTGTCTTTCTTGTGGCCGAAAGTCGTGTGGCTGAAGGGGCTTAGATGAACACTCAAGTGCCCGCGGAGGGCCGATCAAGTAGCTTGCAGATAGCAGGTCAGACTTATATTAGTTGCTACGTTCTAGACGCAGTAAGATAAGAATCTGTTCTATTACCCCTGGCAATTGACGTCGAGGGATCGACACTGCCTTAAACTCATTGGACGAATAATTTGCAAGCTGGTCAATCAGGAAGAGGCTGAGTATGAGATAGAAACACCAATCAATCGTTGACCATCACTTCTCACTCATACTAGGCCTGCGCGTGTCAGATCGCTTGGGATACATAGGGGATAATGCTCTCCGCCAGAACTTCACCGGTTCTTCGCTTTTTCTTCGTTGCCATTCATTGAGAATCAGATGCGAGGTTTTACATCGGACACTGGTTCCTGGCTCAATCAATGACTTGAAGAGTCTCTCGGTGGACTTGACCATGTTGTTTCCGTATTCATTAATCACGGTGGCGGGTTTCTTGCCACTGAATTTCGCCATGGGCCTCGAAGCGCGACCTCCCCAAGAAACGCTCGCGATGGGGTTCCTAGAGCATGGCGCTGGACTTTCCCCAGCGCCAACGACAGCTCCCAGCGAAGAGTCGAGGCAAATGATGCTCGAAGCCAGAAGTCTACCTCCCAATGCCTGTGGAGTTCGTCGCCTTGATAATGGAAGTAAGTCTTGGCCCATGACTCCTGTGCTTCACGAAGCTTGCTGACGATGTCTTCCTTGCTGCCAGCTTTCGAGACATTCTCATGCGTCAGCAACGATTGCTATAGCTCGGGACCATGGTTTGGATGTCGTAACATCCTCAAGACACAATGTTTCGATGGGACCGCACCTGTGTGCCAGCAGACAACGTCTTCTCTGGGTCAGAAGGCGCTTTGTTGGTATGCATTTCCGTGATCCCTTCCACCTTGCACGTCCCAAGACTTGCCATACTCGGCCGCTCGTCTTATTCGCGTTCCCAGACTTCAGTGAGTTCGAGTGCTAACTTTTTTCCAGCACTCGATCAGGTCCGAGTCAGTTGCCGTATTGCATGACACTCCTGAGGCCCGACGACTCGGGACAAAAGACATGGCTTCGATGCGGTGATCCCGCCTATAGTGGACAAAAGATCATGGTGATAGGTACAGAGTCTGATGATCCAGACGCGACCAGGACCGTAGACCCTTCGGACACTGCAACAGCCACTTCGCCCCCGTCCGGCTCATCCTCGAACTCAACGGGTGCCATCGTCGGAGGTGTGGTCGGCGGGGTCGCCGTGGTAGCCATAGCCGTCTGCGTCATCGTCTGGATGATATTGCGGCGGAGGAAACGCGCGAGGGAGGACGGGTCGCAAGTGCCTTTGACGCCGGGCTCTCAACAGCAGCAAATTCAGCCATATTACTCTCGAGCTGGGTATGGAGAGCACGATGACCCTTACAAGGCGCAACGCGGGCCGACGCCCTCGCCTACCCCTCTTGCTGAAGTACAGGGAAGCAACGTGGTTGACAACCGAAGACCGGCAGAGCTTGAAACGTGAGCCGTCAAGAGATTAGTTGGGCATTCGTGTGTCTGGTACTCGGGGCCCGGAAGGTTATTCTGTTACACATAGCAAAGGCGTTAGGAGTCTGTTCCACTATGATCAGTGGGTTATTTTCTTTTCAGCATACATGCTTACCAGTCAGATGCAATGAAAGATTGAGGGAGCCACTTGCAATACGAAGCTGATGGACCCTGGGCGCATATCCGCATTTGCTTTTACGGACTTGACTAGGCGCCTTTTGGTTTGACAAAACGAAATCTCATAGAAACGGGTTTGAAATTTTGATCCTGGTTCGAATACAGCCTTCATGATTTGCGATTTCTTCTCCCGGCTTCACATCAATCTAGTAGATGTCCTTGAGCTCAAGTATACACAAGAGTGGCTAGGATTCTTCGTTCCCGGCTGCCCACGCTGACACCAGCAACAGCTCATGTTTTGAACTACTTCGGCAACACACACGGTTTAGCCACAATCCGCTGGTATTGATGGGCGAACCATGTATCACACAATTCCAGAGGGCCTGCCTCGCTTTGAAGGTTGCACAACACGGCAGCTTGCTTTCATATCTTTGCACAGTCCTCAACATAGACGATAAAGAGCAAGAAGAGGGATCCATGCTGCCTCCTCTGCTTCCTGGTGACTTTGACTCTTCAAGACCACTGCATCTCCGTCAACGGATGATATTCCTTCATCAAAGACTTCATCTGATAGCCTTGCCTGCTCAAACCCGGAGTAGTGATGAACTCCCGCGTTCTTGTAGCCATCTCTGCGGCTATCTGGCTACGCCTGGTTCTCGCGGGGTCCCAACACTTGAACAAAGATTCCATACCACATCCAACACTGGCACCGAATTACGAAAAGTATGGAGCGGCCCTGACGACAACTCTGGCACCCGAAAACAATCCCCATCTCCGAGCAGAGATGCTGCCGCCTCGCGCACTGCGCATCAATACATGCGGGATCGTAACACTTCCCTGGAGTAAGTCTTCAAAACCCTCTCTGGCTCTTGAGCTATGTCAGCCAGCATATAGGAATCGAATACTGACCATGATAAAACAGCCACGTTCCCTCTAGCATGCGAGTATCCGCAACCGTGCCAAACTGATAATGGTTATATGAAGTGTGATAATATCGTTGGACGTACATGCTACGATGGCACAGCTACCGAGTGTAGAAGCATGGTTGATCTCAATACCCGCTGCTGGTACGTCTATATTTCGTCTCATTTTGAGAGACGATGGCTAATAGCTACCTTCCTAGCACGACTTCGGACGACAAATGGCTCCCGACCTGCGTGACATATTACAAAGATATTGGCAGGGACAACTGGGTATCGCTCCTCGATTGCCAATGGAAAGTACACAGCGGTCGAACGAGCTTAGACTTCGTGCCGGCGTCAATTGAGGACAACTTTCTTGACAGCACTCAGACAGCGCTGGCTTCCGCTGAATCCACAACGCCCGCAACAGTCTCTCAAACCACAGAGCCGTCACATTCACCATCGCCAGTGGCTTCACCGTCCAACATACCTACAATTGTAGGCGGCGCCGTTGGAGGCGTAGTAGCGGTTGTGATTGGAGTCTGTGTCGTTGTATGGCTTCTAGTACGGGAGAAGCGAGCCTCGAGGGTCAAGGACGCCATGCCTCCTTCGCAGGATCCGACACAGAGCGCTCAATTCTCAAACCTGCCAGAGGTATCTATCCCTGCGAACCACCTGCCTCTTCATTCCAGCTTTGAAGCGCGACACAAATATCAGTCGGTGTCCGCAGCCTCGCCTTCCGTTCTCAGTGAGGCGTATCCGGCGTCTTCTCCGTCGCTGAGACACATTATCAACGTTAATAACACCCCGGTTGAGCTCGAGTGATAGAACTAAAGGCACATAGATGTTGAGTCCGCAGTATTCCGGACTTGTGGTAGTGTTACATTACAGGGTTGATGATCTGATTAGGCACGCAGAGGATATCAAGGGCTGGTTTTCGTTCAATAATGTAATTTTAGGCACTCTTTTACGAGTAATCATCTACACACGCATCGCCTGAGATGGTTAGGGATAAGTCCATACCAACCCTCAACATCACACGCCATCAACGGTCGTAGCAGTCCCTTTAACTGCCATCCCTCCATCATCACCCTCAATCCAAACATCCCACTTCTTCTCCCCTTCACTCGCCTCCTTCTCCCGCAGGCAAAGCGTCATCTCCCGACCACAGTACAGCGGCGCCAGGTTCCGATACCCGTACCAGCGCACGCTCTGCCCTTTGCCCTGCCTGTTCAGGAATGCGAGCATGAGAGCAAGTGATAGAGGCCCGTGGACCAGCGTCGCGGGATGTCCCTCCTGCGCGGCCCACGCCGGGTCTAAATGGATCGCGTGCGCGTTGTACGTCAGCGCGCTGAAATTGGTGAGGAGGTTCTGCGTCGGCGTCAGAGTGAGAGACGCTGTCGGCTTATGCGGTGCTACCCAAGTCTCAACGTTAGTACTTCTTCCTTCTCCAAACATTTTCCCCACGACATGGAATGAAGACTAAATTTGCCGCCGCTGACGCCTCATACCTTTCAAACTCCTTCGCGCCGGAGTAGGAACATCAACATCAGGAAGGAAAGCCAACGTCCTCCTCTCCTCAACCGCCGGTCCGCTCTCACCATGACGACCACCAGCAGCTATCCCATACCGCCGCCACAACTCGACCCACACCCGGCCCTTCTCGGCTCTCACATCCTCCACGCTC